GGCTCCGCGGCCTGTCGAGCCGGGGAGGAGGGAGGGAGAAAGAGGAGGGCGGGCCGGCCCGCCCCGGCGCCTGGGGAGAACGGAGCTACTGGGGCAAATGTTGAGCCCTGCGTCTCGGTGTCTTGATGACTGAGAGATGGGAGGTGCTTCTCATCCTTTTTTTTCTCCACTCCTCTAGCTTCTCTTTTCTCCCTCCCATTCCACCTTCAGTGAGATGCCTCTGAGGAGGCCACTTCTCGTGTTTTACTCGTTTTTTTTAATGGGAAATGGGGAAAAGGAAGGAAGGAAGGAGGCAAGCACACGGCTTAAGGCTTTTTGTATTAATACTGGTAGTTACAGCTCTTCAAGATCACCCTTCCTAGGCCCTGTATTTTGTCATCTATAATGATGGTAATACCACTTAAGTTTCCTGACATGGTGGCTTTGCCCACTCATGCCAGCAGCTATTCCTGTAGGGCAGCTGAGGATGGGAACATTCTGGGGAAAGACTAATTTAATGTGTCCAAAGTGGTTTTTACTTCCTCATTTTGCCAGATGGCTAATACGAATATTGGCATAACAGAAATGTGTGTTTCTTTAGCAGTATTGAGTATCTGATGTTGAGTGTGCAGACTTAGATTCTTATTTGGCTTTCCTTTTAATAGGAAAGAACTTGCAGCTGTAGGTAGTGGTTCAGGGACTGAAAGGCCGAAATGGCATGTGAAGGTTTATTTGACCTGACTGGAAAATTATATGGTCTTAAGTTGTCTCATGTAAGAAAAATAGAAGTCTTTTGCTAGAATTCTACTTTACTGTAGGAAGTGTTACAGTTTTACAGCAGTTTCCTTTGAAGCCATTAATATATGGCTCTTTAATGGGGAAAGTAGAAGGCTAGGTTTTCAAGTGGAGAGGAAAAATAAATAGCATTAAGCTGTTACAGGACTTAAGAAAGAGGAACCACTCAGCTTCTCAAAACTAAGAGGAATAGCTGACTTGCAGAAATGATGTGTAATGGAATACAAAGAGTGAATGGCTGGATCACAATGAGTTCTTGGTTAGGGGGTATAACTTCATACCAAATGAACTACCCTTAAAATAAGTATCTTGTGTATGAAGTAATACTAAACTGTACAGTATAATATGGAGATAGGTTCCTATGAACTCGGAAGGTTTTCATGTGGCTCATTTTCACTTTGTTGCAAGCTTGCTGTCTTGTTCTGAGGAATGATCTCCCATCTGCATCTGAAACGTTTTATGTTTCTGGGCCTTCTAAACAACCAGCTTGAATGTTTGGTGTTTTGAATGATACCAGAAAGGCATCTTGAACTAATTGGAACAAAGCCAGAGTTTTGGTTGCTTATCTTAATTAACATGCACAATACCAGTTTATAATAATCTGTAATACTAATGGTCAGTCCTTAACTTTAGTGTTAGCATAATTTGCCTGTTGTGCTGTTTGACTAATTGGAGAGATGAAATGTTTGAAACTTAACAGGGGAACTTCAGGTGAGACATAAGGAAGAAGTTCTTTACAGTGAGGGTGGTGAGGCACTGGAACAATTTGCCGGAAGAAGTGATAAATGCTCTAACCTTGGCAGTGTTTAAGGCCAGGTTGGACAGAGCCTTGGGTGACGTGGTCTAGTGTGAGGTGTCCCTGCCTGTGGCAGGGGGGGTTGGAACTAGATGATCTTTCCAACCCAAACCATTCTGTGATTTTATGAAATATGGCTTACGTGTTCTAAGGTGGTGGTGTTGAGAGGTAAGGATAACAATCTTCTTAAGAACTCATGGGAATGCTTTGCTTTCTCTCAACTTTCAATGTCTGGCTTTCACTTTTAAGCCTGTTTTGAGCTTTGGATGAGTATAGCTGCTATAATTGTTTCTGTCTTCAGCTTGTTGAAGTTGTCATCCAGCTTTTGCTGCTTCAGGGTAAGATTTTTCTGGTGACCTCTTTTTGGAAGCCAACCTTCAAGGGTCTGTAGAAACCGTTCATACTCTGTCAGGTAGGAGCAATCTAGTTGCTTTCAAGGTCCTGCACCTTTCCTTCTGGGCTTTTAGGCCTGGTGCTTCTTTTCTATGTTCCTCTGCCATTTCATTTCGAAGCTGGCATGGTTAATATACATGTAATGTATTTTAATTTTCCATCTCTGATAAATAGTACCTGAGCATCATAAATGTTAGCTTACAGAGGCCCGGTACTAACTCTTTGCTAATTGCAGCACGTAATTGTAAGATGGTCCCTAATCCGCAAAGGGTGGATTTAGTGGTCTAAGCAGACAGCATGTGGAAAATGAGAAGGAAAACCAGTATGCTGTGGTGAAGCAACTTGCGTGAAACATCACAAAGCAGAACGTTGGCAATGAGGTCATAGAGTATGTTTAAGATTTCTGACTTGCCCACCAGCCAAATCCTAGAAACATGACTTCCCTCCTACCTGAGAGGAAAAGGATCTCTGTTTGGGGAATATGGACACAAAAATTGTTGGCACTGTCTGCTGCTATTGCTAGCCAGTAGTGTCCTAAAACTGAAAATTACACCTTGCCTTTCTAAATTTTATTCCCTTTCATTGTATTCCTTTTTTATTGTCACCTCTGTCTCCAGACCTTCCTTCCAGCCTACTCCCTTTTGAGCTTGTGGAACATTGTATAACAAATTTGAACACAATACAGTGTAATACTACATTTTCTCTTACTAAATAAGAAGATCCCTTGCATCAGATCAGCTTGCATGAACCTTTCCGAAGATGTCTTTAGTTATTCATGAGAACAAGTGGTAGGATCACAGCTCTCTTTTTCCTACATATTTGGTTCTGATCCTTTCATTTTTAAAACAGTCATTGTCTTTGTATTACGTTGGAGTAGAGGTGAAGAGGCAGCTTTCCAAATGTGTGTGTAACTTGGGCAACATAAAATTTTAGTCCCTTTCTGTTTACTTGGATTAATTGATTGTATTCAGGACCCATATTAGGGCACCTCTACAGATCATCTGTTTCATAAACCTTCATCTACAGCTGAACTTTCACGGATTCTCTTGGTGAATTCTTGCACCTAGATGTAAACTTGGAGAATGGTCAAAACTTGCATGTCTTTGTCATAACTTGGAGCAGTTATGGTGGATTTGTCTCGCTGAATTCCAATGTTGCTAAGGTTGCATCAATACAGCTGATATAACTCTGATTACTGAAGGAGCATGCATATATGCTTTTTTCCTAATACTACCATAACACTTTTATTTAGCTCCTAAAGTACTGGTGCATAGAATTCATGGGATCATTCTTAGAAAGAATAAAAAATTGGAAGAAAGCTAGTAAAATGTATTCTAGAATTGACTGTATTGTGGAAGTACTGATAACTCTGAATTGTCCAGACACACAAATACATAAAGAAAGGATGTCATCTTATATACTGCTAGTTTGATGAAATTAGATCAGGAATTGCATATTATATGCTTCAAGAGACTGAGTGTAGGGACATTGTGTTTGATGACTGACCTCAAATATGTGCTAATGAAAAATGCGTGGTGAATGGGGCTATAAGGGTGGGGCTGTGGCAGACCTGATGGTATTAAGTATTCCTGAGTATGCATCTGTGCAAAACCACTCACGTGTCACTCAAGGTACTCCCGCTTTTTCATGTATGTAGTGGGGTTTTTTTCCCCCATTTTCTGTTGTTATGATTGGTGGAAAATAGATTTTGTAGTCCATTGATCTTTTGTTCATTGATGTGTAAAATGATGAGAAAAAAATTAATAGAATGCCTTTAATTTAAGATACAACTGTAATGAAATAACAAAGATTTCTCCTGTTTTGACAGATAAGCAGAGGTCTACAATGGCAACAGAACAGCTCCTTTTCCAGCCTGCTGTTGGCTAGCTATGTCCTTAAATATTTCTTAAGCTTTTTTTGCTGACAGTATCTTGTGGTGTGCTGCTGCTGAAAACCCAATAATTAGTTTTGAAATAGATGAGTTCCCTGATGGAAAGCTGGTGTTGGCACAAAGGAGACTGGGGGGTAGTATCTTCCCTGTAGGCTGCAGCCTGTATTAGCACTGGCTTATGTTAATCATGAGTCTGCGTTCTTTTGAATTTCGTAGTTGACTTATGGAATAAATAATTTGGTGGGGAGGATATTTCTACATTTGTAGTAAATGTCTTGGTAAAATAAGAATCTCATGCAGTTTGGATTTTTAATCTGGAGAAGTATGGGTTTTTTTTTCTTGGGGTATGGCAGCTTCATGATTGCTTCAAAGTAACTTTTGTGAATTAAGTTTTGTGACGATGTTGCTCCATAACCTAACTATTTTACAGAGACCTTTTGAGGGAGAGTTGGGGAGAGCTTTACAAAGGCCTCAAAAGTGTGCACTGAGGAAAAACATCCTGTTTCAGCTAGATTTCACATGTTAACACTTGAAGTTAAATAATTACTTGCTAGTTGTAAGCTTTACTCAGTATTTAAGTACTTAAGCAGTACTAATTAATTAACTGTAATGTAAATATTTCAGTCATTTCCAAGATACACCTAGTGGGCCTGCTAAAGCTATTTAATTTTGTGTATACAGAAAAGGATTGACTTACAGAGTTGGTGGGTTTTTTTCTTTTTTGTTTTGTTTGGGGTTTGGTTTTTTTGTTTTTGTTTTTGTTTTTTTTACTAAGTAGTGGCATTACACATGCAATTCTTTCTTGTAAGCCTGCAGCCACTGAGAAAACCCTTAGGAGCCCCCTTGAAGAGGCTTTTCTGAGATGGAGTCTGTTAAGACATATTCTTTGTTATTTGCAAAACAGGTATGTTCCCTTGCATACATCTCTTAATCCCTGGTTTTGGGATTCCCTGCAGCTGTAGGGGTTTGTTGTTTGTGTGTTTTGAAATTAAAAATTTCAATTCCATGATTCAAAGCATCAGCCTTCAAGGATGAATAGTAAGTGCTTGTTCTGTAGGCTCCATGTGGTATTTGCTGTACTGGGTTAAAGCGTGTTCTTTTTAAAAAGAAAAAAGTAAAATTGCTAAGTGTTTGAGTTTGGTAGTATGGGACTTCTTAATTTTAACTCCAGTCATTTTTCTGTACTATCTTCTTTTTCTGTCACCTAATTTTGTGTTAGCTTTTCCAGGTCCAGTCCTGTCACTTGTTAGGTATTTATGACCTAGTGATATTTTAATAGTTGTTGTGTTGTATCTTCAAACGTAATTTCAGATTCAAGTATCTGTATCCTGAAAGCCTGATGCAGTATCTCATTGATTAGTCAGTCTCAGAAACTGATGCCGAACCTGCCTGTCCCTAATCACTTGACCTCTTGTTTTGGCTGTCATCTGTCACCCCACCTGTGTCACACTGTCTTCACTGCAAAGTTTATCAAGGTTAGCAGAGCCATTGTATATTGTCTTGAAGACAGACGAAGTTGTGTACATGTGGGCTGCACATATTTTTACTCTCAACCCTGCCAGTTTATCTGCTGTTCCAGTTTATTATGCTTGAACTTTTTGTTGGTTTCCAGGTGTTGAAGTCATTCAGTGGTCTAAGGAGTGACTATTTTTGCTTATTTATTGCTGTTTTGTCTGTAACTGCTGCTGCTGGGATGTAACACTGCTGTTTGTGTCCTCAGTCACTGTAGCCATTGGCATTGATGCAATACATTTTTCTGAAGCTAGTGGCTGTTGTGGCAGTTGCTCAGTGCTGCTGAAAATTGGAGGTTCTTAGTAGGGAAATTGAGAAGATATAGCAACATTGAAACCAGATTTGAAAGTTATACTACATCTGAATTACTCTGATAGTCAGTTAACTGCTTTGGAGCAGAACACAACCAAAAGTAGTGGAAATGTATTGCTCTGCAGATGTGAAATGGATTTCAGGAAACAAGTTCCTGATTTAAAGAAGGTATTTTCTCTACTATGTAGTGCAGTTTTTCTGCCAAGAGAAGGACTCTGTCTTTATTTGTGGTAGTAGATTATTTACATATTGGTGGTATAGTGTCATTGGCCAATGTGATACCCCTGAGAGAATAAATAGATTTGGTTTTCTTTTAAAAAGAAACATTTAAAAGAAACAAAACCATGGCTTACCGATTTCACTGGTTAGTAGGCCTTCTTGGGAAGGCCAGTAAGATACTTAAGATGAAGGTGCTTGTGCTTCTTCCCACATGAATCTTCTCATCTATGCAAAAAGGTTTGGAGATCAACCAGCAGCAGGCAAAACTTCAGGTGAATGTGAGTTAAGTCAAGCTAGAGAAATGTATTTACTACATAATCATTTATAAATGACCTACAGTCAAGAGCAACAGATAAGCAATATCAGAATCTCTCTCTTAAAATAGTAATATATGGATTGTGTAATCCAGCCTGACTAGTTGACTCTCTAATGTTAGTCTTGAAAGAATGTGGTGTGTACAAATCTGCATTAATTTATTGGTGTAACACTTATGTCCTGGTATCTCACCTGCACCTGCCTATGTTTCACCATTCTGCTTTGGAATACTCTGGTGTGGTGTATTTTTTCTATCCTAAAACTGTTATTGCTGTGGATTTATATCCATCTTGGCATTGTACCAGCCAGGCGAGGCAATGAAAGGAGTTGTTTTGTTTCATGTGTTCAGGTAATTCAAGATACACTAAGTGCAGTGGGAAGTTTCTGCAGAGTAATTATGTTGGAATGGTTTCCTTGGTTTGTGACCAACTTTCTCGCATCCCCATGGTAATTTGATGCTGATGGCCTCTTTCCCAGCAGTGGCTGTATGCTGTGTTTCTTTTGTCTCCTAGCCTCCAAAGTCACTTGGACCCTCAAATCTTGAACGCACATTCTGTAGGCAGTCTCATTCCTGTCTTTGAAAAGGAAACACAGCGGTTCTTAAACCTTGGTAAACTTCACCAGGAGAATCGGGTGACAGTGCAATGTTGAACGCTTAATTTAACTTTTGCATAACAGAAGGTTAGTGAATTTTAAGATGAGGTGCTTGTTGTACAACATGCCTTTTATGGATTATATTATCTTTGAATTGTCCTTTCTGGTGGTAGCCTCTCAGGTGACTTTTTACAGTCATGTTACGACTTTCAACCATGGTGCCAAAGATGCTGCACTTGATGAGCTTGCATAAAACCTCAGATTTAGCTCTCAGTGTGAAAGGTCAGTGATCTTGCTCTCAAGTTTCAGTGCTGCTTGACTTAAGATCTGTTGGGTCTTGTAATAAAAAGCTTGAAAGCTTGTCAGATGTTTCACACCTTTTGTGAAGGTATGAAGCGTGCTATGACACATGGATTTTGGAAGTTGATGAGACTCGTTCTGCTGTATATATGTAGACTAATGTAATTGAAAAGCAATTGAGCCAAATCTTTATTTGAATCCATGTTAAAGAACTTTAGTAAAAAAAGAAACTGTTTAGTGCTGATAACTGTTGTGGGATTTTAACCTACTGATGCTCGCTTTCTCAGAACCTTTTGTTAAATGGTATTTTCATTGATAGAGCTAGCCTGTAGAAGGTGAAAAGCTGATGTAAGATTTTCAGATGGGTCAATAGACTATACACTTGTAGTGGGATGTAGGTGAAATCCCTTATCCTTGTGTATCTAAGTCAGCAAGTACATCTCAGCTCTAGGAAAGAGGTGTAGAAGAGCCTGACACTGATGGGCACGTTTCTGGCAATCTTCATAGGAGCTCAATTTCCAATGCCAAGAGGTAAAGCTGGAGAAGGTGAATAGGATTATGCTGGGTTTGATTACCACAGTTAACCTCAGTGAAGATAACCTGCTTACTGCCTTCCAAGGTGAAATTCTAGAGTTTCTTCACTAAAATGGTGGCTCATCAACATTATAGTTCTCTGAGTTTTGTGATTTCAAGCATACAATGTCAGGGCATTTATACTGGACTGGTAGAGGACGAGGAATACCTAGGTTGGACTAACAAATATGTATTCCTAAGAAGTATAGCTTGCCAAAAACTAAGACTTGATAATGAGAATGCTAAGTCTGTCCACTGTAGATGCTGGATTACACTAGCTGCAGGTTAAATACCATGAATACCTGCAGAATAGTCATTGGCATTTAAATATGTCAGATACATTTTTGGGACAGACTTATTTTCAGTTGCAAGGTGCCAATCCTAGTTAGTTTAACTATGAATGCTTAGAGTAATGTGCTTAATATGTCCTTTATGCCAACCAGCACCACTGACCTGTTAAAATATTTCAGAATCCAGTGCTTCAGGGAGCTGCTTTGGTGGCTAAGTGGTAAATCAAACTGAAAAAAGCAGAAGAGTTATGTGAACACTGCACAAGAGCTTCTGAAAAGATGATTCAGTCCAACATGGATGATTTCTTTGCAGTTTTGTTTGCAGACTGTACTGTTAGGGTACCAGAGATAGTGTGGGCTAGCTACTTCTAACACGATACTTTGGCAGTATGTGTCTTTCAGATCATTCTTTAACCTAAGATCTTCCACTTTTTCTTCCACTTTTTCTTTCACTTTCTTCTGACAGTAAGAGTGCTTTTGCTAATAGCCTTGCCATGTGTTGAGGACACTTTTTAAAATAGTCTGTAGCTGTTCTTTGATCCATTTTGGTGTTCTGAGGTATATCAAAGCCCAGGGTTGAAAAGCTGTTACCACTGCTACTGAAGAGAGACACTTTGAAAGAGATGATTTTTTTCAGAACAGATCTGTCTGGTCTGGAATTTAATTTCATATTTCAGACTTCCATACTTAATTTACAGTCACAGTAGTGATAGAACACTCTGTGTTTTTTCAGCTAACGGTTGTCAACCTGAGTTGCTAAATGTTACATTGCACCTTAGCCTCGTGTAAGGAAGAGTGGTAGTAGGCCAGTATGTAACTCCTGAAGATTTGTGAAGTCGACAGGAACACTACTTGAAAGCAGATCACATGTTTAGCTTTGGAATTCTGCAGAGCATTCTTACAGCAAGAGGAATTAAATTTTACTTCACATTTTCTCTGCAAACATAAGGCCAGAATTTTAGGTGAATTTCTAACCAAAGCCACAGATAGAATAATAGTGTTTTGAGGATTTTTTTATTTTTTTATTTTTTGTTTTTTATTGTTATGAGCAGCTTCATTTCTGTTGAAATGCAATAGGAAGCTGAAGAGGTAATACTTGAGGAAATAAGCTTGAAAGTGACTTTCTGGGTTTTGGCATGCTTTTTCCAAACATGGCATGTTGATCTACTTAATGTAGTGAATAGATAGTCAAGGCTTTGTGAGAATCACCATCACCTGACTTCATGGCACTACATACATCTCCTGTCTTTACCAGCAAGCTGATTACTTGCAGGAAACAAGGAAGTTGATTTGTCACAAATGAGTTGCTTCACTGAGGGTTAAAACATGATTCTTTTTCTGTGAAATGGATGGACAAGGACCTATCTTGCATGCAGTTCAGAGGATATAGTGTAGGTAACAGTCTGCTTCATTAAATTTTGAGTACTGATGCTGGGCTTATTTAAGAAACAGGGGTAGGGGTCAGGGTCAGCTTTAATAAACAGTAGTTCATTTTGGTGCACTCATGAGACAAGATGTGTTTTATAAGATACTCTGACTAATTCAAAGCTTTCTGTGTGTCAGAACTGTGATTTACCTGAAAGAGTAGGTAGGAGATGTGTTGGTTTATGTGAGTCAGTTTTTAACACAGAAATTAAGTAGCATAAGTTTATAACGTCTACATTTTATTTTAGCCACATTTTGACTCAAATGGATTAATTTCAGGGTGTTCGCACATAGTGACTTCATTGTTTGGAGCAGACTTTTAATAGATCTGCCTTGTGTCCAGCACTTCCAAAATAATTCTTTTTTGCCACTTTTTAGTTTGCCTTGATTCTGAGAGAGAGATGCATTTTTACTTATAACACAGCTGTTTCCCCCTTACCCTCTCCTTAATCCAGAACTCTCTTAACTTGTTGGATATGTCTGTTCAAGAAGATGGGAAAAATTCAATACTCCAAGGATAAATCCTTCAGGGGAGTCTTTCTATGGTGCAAAATTTATTCTCGAAAGCATTTCCTTAGAATGGATGCAACACTGAATTTTCTTCTTCTATGTGAGAGTGGTGGTTCTGCAAGTTTGAGAGGTTGCAGTGGAAATTAACAAAATCAGATCATGATGGGAACTGAGCATGTGTTTAAAGAAATCCTAGATTGGCTTTACCACAGTGCTGCTTTCTTCAGGAGGACAGGAAAACTTAAATCTTGTCTTTTAAGAGAAATCTCTTTTTTAAAGTCAGAGCATACATACTGAGACTATGTGGTTGGTAATGGAGCTTGAAAGCTTTCCGGTGTTAACACAAGGTTAGAAGTGTTAACAATGAGTTGCAGCTCTGGGAAACCTGTAGGCTAATGAAGATTAGATGAAGTGTGGTGGAAAATGAAAATACCTGAGTAGGAACATTTAAAATATGGAATAGATTTTCAAAAGCAACTTGTAAATTTGAAGCTTGTAATTTACTTGATGTTAATGCGAATGTCTAGAATGCTTGAGATGCTTGGAGAAGAGATACACCACAGCAGCCTGAAAGTGATTTTTGGAAATGTTTTCTTAATATTACAACTGCACACACACGAGCGTTTTAATGATTAGGGGATAAGGGAGGGAAGTATCAGAATGATGTGGAGAGAATGTCTAGGGACTGACCGTTCAGTTTGCTCAAATATGAGAATGGGGGTGGTTATATATAGGACTGAAATTCAAACCGAAAGGAGGAGGTTCTTTACATGAGTGATTGTGGGTCTGTGAAGCTCCCTGTTAAAAGACTTCATTGGTGTAAGAAATAAAGGCTTAAGGGGAAGCTAAAGTACTTGGAAGAAATCCATGAAGGCTGCCAAACAGGCAAATCATATAGGGCTCAGGAAAACGTGTGAAAATAATTGGGGGCTGAAGAACACTTCAGAGTATCATGTTGTTTTCTGTTTATTTTTGGAGATGGTGCTAGAGGGAACTCGTGTCATATTATGAAGGAGGAAGAATCTGAACAGAGTTACAGTAAAAGGGGGAGAAAAGCCAGTGGGTGACCAAAGTCTTCTCACATTTTTAAATACAGAATTAGAGTGAAATGTTGTAAGCAGTATCAAGGATGGGAAAAACACTTGATTTGGTTTTTGTTTAGCATAAATATGGATAAATAGCTGTTAGTTGGAGGAACTAAGTTTTCTAATTATTCTTGTTTATCGCTCTCTTTATTAGCAAAACCAAATAGGAAGCTGACATTCCTGTACTTGGCCAATGATGTCATACAGAACAGCAAAAGGAAAGGACCAGAATTTACAAAAGATTTTGCTCCGGTAATAGTGGAGGCTTTTAAGCACGTTTCAAGGTACAGTAAGCTTACGTGCAGTGTCCTTCATCATACTGTATTTGAGGGGTATTAGAGAAGTCCTTAGTGCACCTCTTCTGACCCAGCTAGTCCTTGTGTGCTATTTCTGTACTTGGAAGTCATGTTAATTTAATTTATTCAGTGTTCTTTTGATCTTGGATAGTCTTAATGATGTCAGATGAAGTTGCATAGTAAACTTATCTGCATTCAGTCCCTTTTGCCTTAGAAAGCTGTTAGCTATGTCTTAAATTAAGACTTGTTTTCAGTCTGTATTTTATGTACCACAACAGTTTGGTGTGTTTCATTACTGGTGTTGTATGATTTGTTTTTCCCCAGCAGCCATTCATCTTGTTGCATGATGATGCTAGACTGTAGATACAGAAATTATTTTCACATGGTACACAGCTGTTGAAGCAACACAAACCTATTTGCGGTGTTTGTGTAATAAGGCTACACACCTACAGATTCATGGGTCAAGCAAGCAAACAGAAAGAGAATTGGGTGATGGCCCTTTTTTTGTGCTTGCTAAGACTTGTTGAACTGGTCTTTGCTTTATTTTCTTTAAAATGTGATTTTGCTGTTTTCTGAGTTTGACTTCTGATACTTTGATATTGCTAAGGCATGTCATGGTCCTTCAGTGAAAAATAATTACACAGCAGTGCTGTACTTTCACCTAGTACTGATTGTTGCTTTTTTTCTTGTAACAGTGAGTCTGATGAGAGTTGTAAGAAACACCTTGGCCGAGTGCTCTCTATCTGGGAAGAAAGGTCGGTTTATGAGAATGATGTGTTAGAACAACTTAGGCAAGCTTTGTGTAAGTATTTTGTGTGTGTATGAAGATTCAGTCTTTTCCTTGGAATATTATTTTGCTGACTGCTCTGCTCTGCTCTGTTTTCATTTAGATGGAGACAGAAAGGTGAGGAAGCGCACATATGAACAGATAAAAGTTGATGAAAATAACTGTTCACCTCGAAGTTCTCCCACTGACCCTCCTCAGGTAAAAGCATGTTTGTAAAATTCTGTGTTTGCATATGGCTTGTTATAGAATTTTTCAGTTACTCTTGGTTTTTAATGGTCTCTGCTTTTCTTTTTAATGAGGTACAGTTTCTGAGCAAGGGTGACTAGACTTGAAACTTCTTCACAGTACTTCAGGTTACAAGTGGAGCGTGCTGTAACCTAAGTCAGTTTGACACTAAAATAGAATGTCTTAACTCTATATTCAGTCTTGTCCACAGCAGGATTTCAGCATCAGTTTCTACAGTGTTTCAAGTTCTCATTGGTTTCCAGGGTGGTAACAAGTTAACATATGTATTAGAATAAGGTTGTTGTCAATTTATCAGTAAAATATTTCTCAATGTTGCAGTCATGATCATTGAGGAAAGTTCTTGTCTACCTTGCATTGTTATGGCTTTTATAGTTCTTGTGGGGTTTTTTTATGGTACTGCCCCATCTCAAAAGGCTTTTCGTTATGGCAAGGAATGACTGCCCTCACATAATCACTATTTAGTATGTTTCTCTGCAACAGACATCTGGGCTTCTATGAACATCAGCCCTACTTCCAAAAGAAGTGCACTGATCTAGTCTGATGCAATAGTGAAGCAAAACTACAAGAAAAATAATGTAAAAAATGTATAGTAAAATGAAAGGTACTGTAAAATAATCACTAATGTCAAAAATGAGACTTAGAAGTAGTCTTACATCAATAATTTAAATGAAAAATCTATTTTAGGAAGGTGACCTTTAAAACTAGGAACACTGCAGTGTTCTGAGAAGTAATGGCTTGTCTTTTGTTTTATTTTCAGTCTGAGAGTGGATAAAATATTGCTCTGCTGACATCATAAATGTTGCTAAAATTACCGTCAAATTTATTCTGTAAGCTTATTGTGAAGTACTGTTTTGTACTAGGATCTGTTTATTTAAACTAGTTTTCAATCTTGCATGCTTCTTTCAGACCACAGATCTCATTAGAGCATTACAAGAACTAGAAAACGCTGCCTCTGGGGATGCAGCAGTTCATCAGAGAATAGCTTCTTTGCCTATAGAGGTCCAAGATGTGTCCCTGTTAGACAGAATAACAGGTGAGGGTTGGGGTCCCAGTAACTAAAATGCTGTTCTGAGAACTTAACAGTATATAATGAAATCATGCTTTACTTGTTTTTCTCTGCTTGCTTTTTAGATAAGGAGTCTGGAGAGCAACTTTCCAAAATGGTAGATGATGCATGTATGTTGCTGGCGGATTACAATGGCAGGTTGGCAGCTGAAATAGATGATAGAAAACAGCTAACTCGAATGTTGTCAGACTTTCTCCGATGTCAAAAAGAATTCCTTGCAGAGAAGGAACATAAGCTGGAAGTGCGTAATGTTTTGTTTTAGTCCATTCTTCACTAAAGCTTGTTCTTGCAAATATGTTTTAGTTTGCCTAAACAACTTTTCTCTCCAAAAGTAAATATTTCGTTTAACAATGCCACTGTTAGGTCTTTGCTTCCAGCACATTATTAACAAGGTTCTCTAAATCTTAAACCAGCTCAACATTAGGTAATGTTATAACTGTAATTGCTTCAGTGTTTGTCTGTTATTTCAGCCTATTCAGTCTTCATTATACGTACAGGCTTAGTTTTAGTAGTGCAGATATAAAGTCTTGTCCTAAAAGGTACAAATTTAAATTCTTCATAGAGTAAAATTTTTATTGTTCTTTTCGTTGTTGTAAGTCTCAGTTTTGTAGCATGTTGTTTAATACTATCCTTTTAATGAATAGAATGATTTTTCTGCTAGTTGTAGGTTTGTGAAGTTACTTAAAAAGGATGAGGATTTAATTACTGATTTCAGCACAACTTTTGAACCTGACATGGGCATCCATTAAACCCAGTAAAATGTAGTTTTAGCTTCTACAGCCTCTAATACAGCTGATTAGCAGCACTAGTACCATCAGGAGAGAACAAATCATTGATAAAAGAAAGGTGCGGAGTGAACAGCTCGTTATTAGTGAACGATCCCCTAAGTTACTTTGTTCTTTGCTATTACCAATTATCTGTTTTCCTTTCCTACTGTATAATACTGTCAAGCCTCCTGTTGAACAACCCACATATTCTAAATAGTTCCATAATTTCATGTCCATTGCTTCCCAAATCCCTTGTCTCAGCTTTAAGACATAGGTTCCAGCGTGAACTTGGATTACAATAATAGAACTGAAGCTGTGCCCTTTTGCAAGTGGAGAGAGCTGAACATTTGCGGTGCCCATGGTGCACAAATTAATTAATTCTCAGGTTTCATCATATAGACCTGTCAAGAATATTTTCTTAACTCTGTGGTTTCTTTATGCTTTTGTAACTTCATAACTTGAGTTCAGATTTTTTGGTGCCTTTGTTCGGGAAAATGCTGTTCGTAATGTATCTGAAGTGATCATTCAAAGCAGTTGTGTCATTCCTAAACTGTTCATTTCTTGACTGCCTTGATTTGCTCTATGCCTCACAGAAAAGCAATTGATGGAGGTTCTTCCTACCAACTTCACTGTGTTTATCCTGTAGGAAGAGTATCAACCAACTCTGTGTAAGGTAGATGTTATGTATGGTAGTGCTGATTGCAGTAGCAGCTGTCCAACTGCAAAATGGAACCTGGAAGATTAAAGAACAGGAAGTCACAATCTCTTCATCACCTGCCTGACCGTTTCTGCTGTTTGTATGTGTGTTTAATGTGTTTGAAGGACAGGATCCTACAGTACCAGTGTAGGACAGATGGTCTTGACACTTACTTCTTTTTGTAGATCATTCCCAGCAATTAGACCCTGTTTAAGTAGCCCACTGTGATAGTGAGTTGCTCAGAAGGTAGTGACTTAGTTTTCCTGGCAGATTTATACTTCTGTAAAAAATAGAGCTTAGTTAATCAGAAACTGCAAATGGAGTGTGGATGTGAGCAGATACTACTCTTGGTTTTCAACAAATACAAACTGGTTTAATTTTCCTATATTACTAGATCAAAAAGTTCAAACTCTAAGAGGAAGCAGTTGCTTAATCTGAGGCTGTCATGATCCCTAAAGCTGGGTTTCTTGGCTGAATTACTTGAACTGTTAAAGAATCTCATTCTCATACAGCACACTTCTTGGTTTGGACTGTTTTTAGAGGTATGTCTTTAGAAAGCAGGAGATAGTCTTCAGTACCTGTAGCAGTCTATTTTAAACAGGTGAAGTTCTAGGATGTTGAGGTAAACGGCAAGAATGTTTTTAGGCTAATCAGTGTGGTATAAATGCAGGTTATTAATAAAGAACTATTAACCAAAATGGTGTCACCCAGGGTACTAATAAGGAACTATGAACCAAGAAAGAACAAGAACCTTAAAATTAAGTTTCTAAATTTGTGTTAAGATAAGTGACTTTATGCTCACTAGCAGAAGTTCCTTTTGGTTTGGGAAGTTGAGGCTGATAAACATTCCAAAGTTTTGAAGTGTAAGATTGGGATGTCTTCATGATACTGTCTGTAGGGCCAGCTGACTTAGTTTGCTTTATTATGTTTAAGAAATTGCTTCTGATTGCATCTTCTGATGTAAATAAAAAATACCTGTAGCCAGATCTATTCATTTTCTGAAGCAAGGACTCTTTTTACAGTCTTAGAAAATACCATACCTCAGATTGCACCTTGCTTCTTGGCATTTTATTTAAAGTAGCACTGGGAAAGGGCCTGTCACCTAATTCTTTGAGACTCTGTTTCCTGAACTGTCTCTCCGTAGGTTTTGCTGTTAGAAGTTTAATTTCTGGTGAAATTAATTTGTTGTAGAAAAGCTTGTTTCATTTGTTAGACTTCTGGCAATTGACATTTTAGATTTAGTATAAAATGGTTTCTGGGTTGTATCAAGTCTTCATTTCTTTCTGAATTAATATTGCTAATGTGTAAGTCCATTGCTGAGATCCTACCTATTTGTCAAATACCCAGGTATGGTAAGAAACAAGTGGTTATATTCTTAGCAGAACCTAGAAATGTTACCTGCTGTTGATCTGGTTTAACAATATTAGAATTTGAATTCCCAGAGAATTCTTGCTAACTTTAAACTTAAGATGGGAGCTTTAGACCTAAATTTGCAGATCTTTTATCTTCTGCAGAAAAAATGTACGGGTAAGTAACTTTGAATAACCAATCTTTCCGTGAGTATTTTTTTAATACGTTTCTCTAACAGTTGTTTCTAAACAGAAGTGAATGATTCCAATCAAAATCAAGGTAATGTATGCGTTAAATCTTGACAGAAAATGTTGAAAACAGATAAATGTGAGCTATTATGTCTGCATCAAAAACTAACTGTACTGCTTAGTAGGTGACTTAAGTCTGCTCTGGGTAAGTAGTGTCATCTTTAACTCTTAAATTGTTTTCTTTAACATCTGTCTAGCTTCTGTTGCAGGTGGTGGACATGGACCTATCTTCTAATGATGTCACCATCCATTAGTACACACATCCTGCTAAAAATAAATTTAAGAATCAAAATCTTGTATTGTCTGTTGTTTTTGAAAACAAACAGGAGGAATTCTCTTAACTACTCATACCAAACCTCTGCTATTTTCATATATATTCTCACAAACGTTACTGAGTTCATGCCCAAGATGGATAAGTGTTTATCCAGTGTCATTCCCTTTCTTTTTCTTGAAGATTGAAACTTTCACATAGTTGTTCCTAAAACTCAAGTCCTTTCAGTTAGATCATTTGAAATTCCAAATGCAGAAGTTTGGCTGTCACTTGCATTGAAGCTGCCATTACCAAAAGGAAAGAGCTGTGAAAACACGATGTTTTCAGACTTTCACTTTGTAACTTACACTCTAGCTATTGGGTTTACGTGAATGTCAGAAGTGAGAAGTGATGGATGTAGAAGTTGTCCTTCACAAGCACAATAACGAACTTTCACTTTATTAATGCACATCTATTTTACATTTTAAGTAGGTAACAGGGAAAATGTATTTTTTAATTGCTCTTATGCCTGTTTAGAGCCCTCCTCAATTTTAGGATTGTCCTAAAGAGTATTTTCCCTTCACTTTAAGTTTTAAAGTAGTATAAATATTTAAGGCTCACTGTACTCTAGCTTTATTTCAAAACTTGTATGGAATTTATAGGCAGATGTCATTCTATTGGAGAAAATGGAAATTTTTGCAGAAAGATTTTTGTAGGAACCATCTTTTTCTCAAAACACTGAGGACTAATATCCTGTTTTCTACTGCTTTGGCTGGCTCTTTCACTTGTGCTTCCTTCTTGTGTCATCCTTCACCTGCCTGCCCCCTAGTTTTTGAACAGAAATGTTGATCTGTTGATCTTGCTGAAGGCTAATGAAAGGACCTTCTTGTTATGGAGGAACAGAGAATTAGGAATACATAAATGAATATCCAGGTGTGCTCATCTTTTGATACTGTCTGTAGACATTCTAGAATTAACATAGCCTTAAAAATACAGGGATGACATGAATAACAAAAGTACTTGATTTACTGTTTTTTCCTGTTGCTTTGCTTTTGGCTCTTCTACAGTCTCACTGATAACAGAGTAAATAGACATACTAAATTTCAAATAAAAGCTTTGATAGTTTGAAATCATAAATGACTTATTAATGAGTGTGGGCAGGGGATCACATGGCCTGTAGAAAAACAAGACGGCCTCTTCTCACCTCCATTTTGATGTTGCGGAAAAATTAGCATCGTTACACTTAGCGTATACTGGATGACCCAGTTTCTTGCATAGTGCTTCTATCAACTTACCACTTCAAATTGGTGAGCATCGTGTTAGTAAATCTAAATTTTTATGAAGGAAATGCTACTCTGGGAGGCCTGCTGTGTTTCAGCAGCTTGCATTTAATTAAGACACTTCTATTGATGTTGCTGTCTTGCATTCCTGATTTTCTACAGCTGTATAAACGATATTCATATCCTTACACTCTCACATCTGGTTATAATTGTGGTTTCTTAGCATGTTGAGAGAATATTATGTTCCGTGCACTTCTATTTCGTAATTGAGCTTTATAGCTCAGTATAGCTTGACTTGTCTTCCTAAAGGGTTTAATTTTGTCATGGAATTTTATGGGTAAACAGCAAGCAGTTAGTCATCCTAGTCTGTAGCTCTGGAGTCAAAGGCTTCTATTTTGGTTTTTTTTTCCCCTGTTCCAGGTTAATGGTTTCAAACGCAGACAAAAATGTTAAGCAAAGAATTTGGGGATGGCAGTGCTATGACAGGCCTCTCGTGTTTGGATTTTGTTTCTTGGTGCAAGACTGGATTGATACTATTACCTGTTGTTTCCCCCCACCATGGCCTTCATATTGTCACAGGGTGTAGTGCCTTTCTTGCTGTTTTTTTCCTTTAAATCCCTTACACTTAGCTTTGTATGCCAGCTTTTTT